ATATATATATATATATATATATATATGATGAACAGATAAGCTGGAAACAAACCTATCAATGTCAGTCTTGCGCACAAAACCAGTACCGAATTTACTACGCCATAAAGGATAGCTTATACGATTTTGAATTGGAATCCGGTCTAAATGGGGATTCTGATAAACTGCTAACTTGCGTCTTGGTATTATGCGTACTTGTTCCACATAATTAGTTGTTGCTCCTATATCATCTTCAACTACATCATATTCGTCTTGCAACTGAAACTAGTTTTTCATCGAAAGAACAGAAAATAGGAAGGGGGAAAAACGCCACCAAAAATTTAAAAACCAGCAAAAGATTTAAGTGAAAATTTGTTTTGTCACATCTTTCTGTGACTAGTCAAAAAGGCATTCCTGATCATAATAAAACTTCATTCCTTTGACAAGTGAAATCTAAATTGTTGTCTAGCTCAGTATTAATTTCACTAGAAGCTCATAAAAACATAATCACAGTCTCTATTTTTCAAAGGGTCTATTTACCTCCAAACCACCTACATATACTGGGCTTTGATTTACGATTAGTTCACGGTAACCTGATTCCAGATTACCATTATTGTAGTTTTTTACAGACGCAACGGACTGGCGAACTTTAGGAAATGAAACTTGTGAGAACCTGAAATATTTTTTTAATTAATTTCGATTGTTAAGTACAAAAACCAGACTAAGTCACGCCAATTAAGCACGAGATATGCATGTAACTAAAGCTTTTCAACTATTTTATCTACAGTGACTGAAGATGCATTATGGACAGTTCAACTTTTTTGCACAAAAGCAGGAAAAAACTGCATATGAAAGAGCAATAATATATCGTGAATTTTGACGAACGTGAATTATTAATAGAACAGTTTCCCACTACAAAACGATAATCTATAGCAATAACTTCATAATTAGATCGCCATGTAGTTTTGTTGAAGTAACATGGTAGACACAATGCATGAGGTGAGAAAGAATAAAGTTAAAAAAGAAAGAAATAAAGTAAATAATCTCAGAGTCATTCTAACCTTTCGTTCAGAGACATTTTTGATGTACCCATCAGAACTATTCGTGACGGTATTGATGTTCCATCCATCATTTACACAAAGCATGCGTCTTTTAGAAGTGACTGAAAAACTATCCTACTTAGACATGATATTTAATATTACGTGTAAATTGCGATCGCATTTAAATCATTCGAAAAATAAAGCTATTATACGTCTGATGCTTTTCTCAAAGTAGCTCCTTCTAACTTATATGAGATCTGAAGGAGGTGTGAAGAATCACATTAACCAGGATCCAAAGAAAAATTGCGAACCATAGAAACTGCAGCTTTTACAATTCAATGTCAACACATAAAGTAGAACATAAGTACCAGGTCGTAAACTACAACACTTAATTCACTAGTAAAGACTATATAACTTCACGAGCGTTCTACTTTTCCGATATTTTACCCCACCTGTAATCTCCAATTAAAAAAAATGTCAAACATCAAGATTTAGTCCCTGAACCCAGCACTTCTCCAATATAAGCCCTCCTTAATTAAATCCTCCAACTCTTGATACGTCTCGTCTCCTTCATTATTCAAACAAGAAAATGAAAACGTACCAATGCTGGTAAATTACCTACATACCGTGAAAAAGATTCTAGAAAAAGAAGAGCACCGATTAGTGACCATAATTAATGCGGCCCTTGCGATGCAAAACTTCGTGCTCATTTGTTTTAATTTTAAAAAGGAAAAATTTTACTTTGCGTAAGAAATCCATCCTCCAGTGTTGTTTTGTGGATATTTATCCAAAAATACAGATGATTAAAGATGGTTTAATTTTTTCACCTTCAACTTTTAAGAGTTTGATTCTCACTTCATCAAAGTTCCCGATATTAATCAAATATTGGCGGCTACTGGCATCAGTTTATGTACATTACTTAGTGTTCACATGATAAAAAATTCCTTTGAACTTGAAGTAGAAGAAATTTATCGCAGGACATCATATATCCGCATAAATCATATTAATCTGCCGAATAGTCGGGTTTTATGACCTCGTATTTCATCTCTCGAACTGTGCATACTGGACGAGTGGAGAACACAGATATAACTTGGGTTTTCGGAAACGCTGTGCCTAATTAGCTCACGCCTGCAGTGAAGTTTCGATAAGTGTTTCTCTTCCTTTCACGTACGGTGCCTCAACCTGTACTTCTGCGCGACTCTCAACCTCTTGCAAAAAATCTTGCATTGTCAGTCATCACTACTCTTAGTAAAAAGTTCTTTCACTTCACTTAGTATTCAAAATTTTTATCATTTTCATCTTGCTAATTCATATGCTTACATTTTTCGCAGTATGAACTTAGATATAATACAAATCTCAGACTGTTAAAGCTGAAATGATTTGTTTTTCGCAAATAAAAGATTATTTCAGCTACTTATTTACTCTTTGGATTATTCGCTTTTCTTTAAAGCTCTGATTATGTTGTAAGATTCTGTATGATTTCAGCAAAATATAACTGTTTGTGCATTTAGGAATTTTTTATTAAAAATGTTTTAGTTAAATATTTCACATTCTATAATAACTTTTAAGTACACACCTATCAGCTGATTAGAGCATTTAATAAGTTAATTTATTATTATTATTATTATTTTATGATTAGACTTTAGAAAACACTTTTATTTATTCCATCATCTTACCATTGATGATGATTATAACCCGATTTTATGCGAAAACTGGTAATTTCATTTGCAAAACAAGTATGCATTCAAGTCAGTTGTTTTCAGATATATGTGTAAGATAGATAGCTCAATTTGATTTTCTTTGAGGTCAACAACAACAACCCCTCTGTCATTGTCAGCATCGACGTGTGTTAAAGGGTAGTTCGTGTTTTGTTGACCACTGCACTAATGCATATTGATTTGCGAAGGCCAAGGGGTCATTTTATCGGCCAATGCTTGCGGGACGATACGAAGTGAATATTTCCCTTTCTACCATCTGCCTAATGCATTATATTGACCTTCTGGTCGCATTTCCACTTTAATCTTAAATATTGTTGAGGAACATTTTTTGCGTTCCAACTCTCTTCATTTGTAGTCATACTTAAAATCTGACAGTTTCATTTCAGTTTATGTTGACGTTCCCAAGAAACAAATTTATTTTTGGTACCAGTCGTGATTAAAAGATTCGAAGTCATTTTATAATTTTGTTTCAAAAATTGTGAAAATAAAAATGAATTTATGCAGCCATTTATGACTTTAGTATGACAAAGTTATTGCTGTAAATGGAGTTTGCAAGAACCGTTATTTGGTGCACTGGTTTTGTTACCCATTAAGTAGAACTACCGTCATATTTCCTAGTTGCACCTGAATATCGCATGTATTAATTAATTCATGCCATTTGACTTCACGTCTAATTTTTTGTCAGCGAAAATTCAGCTTACTTTTCAAAGTCGACTACAATGCCAGAAGCCTTTTTTGCGTGCTTGGTTGTGAGAGATAGTGCAGTCCCAAGGAACTGATCAGAACTGAACCATTTATACTGTAAATAGCAGTGATGAATTATAGAATTAATAGCAGCAATAGTGATACTATTAGCAGTAAAATTTGTTATTATAATGTATGTTGAAGAGATGTGATGCCTTTCAACTTTCAAGAGAGAGCTGTCATTTTGGCAAAGCTCCAAAACAAATGGCACTGAGAGACCACTGACCACTAGTCGCAGTCTGCTGACCGTTGATCAAACTTTACCCTTTCTTCATAGATGCACTTTCTACGTTCTATTAATAATCAATGTATTTCAACCAAAGGCCTTTTTGAGCGGTTCACTTATTTTGATGGTCATTTGTATTATCTTTTTTTCGCTCACTAATATCTTCTCTTCCTTCCATCCTTACTTCTCTGAGATCGGTCTGTACTTTGATAACCATCTCAGGAACTTGCCACACTTGATTATTGTTCATTGAAGTGCATAATGTCATATGGAATGCTATTGTAGTAGTAAGTGATACCGTTTTCATTTCGAATGTAGCGTAGCTCAGCCGCTCGTATTTTGTTTTATATAACTCATACAACGTAAAATATGATTTATTTGCGCTATATTCATTGACAGAATCACAAATTTCAATTCAGTACACATATTTGTAGTGAGTGCTTCAGCATGCGCACCTCTCTCTCTCGTGATATTACTCTTTCAGCTGAAATTTGAAATTCATCAGAAGTGATGTGTTTAACAGAGTTGAAAGCACTGCAGCAAAAGCCTCAGATAACAGCGGTAGTATGGATACTTTTGTGTAGTGAGTATTTCGTATGCCCTCGAACACTCTGTTCATTCTGCTGTCCATCATGCTTCTCTCCTCTCAGTGTTAGGATTTGCAGTTGCAGTCGCTAATTTCTCGCTCTCTTATGATCATTATTGTATCAACATACTTGCTATGAATATATTTTTATCAAATCTTATTCTTTGACAGAAGAAAATCATGCGAATTCTAGCAATTTGAATATTGATATCATTAATTTTGATAAAGCTTTTGGATTTCAGAGTCCAAAAAATATGGTCAGATCACGGAAGAATCGTTTGACAGCTAATAAAAAATCTCAGTCCGGCAATACAAGCCCTCAGAGTTATTCTCGTAGGCGTTCACGTTCACGTTCACGTAATTCAACTCCACGTTTGCGTTCTAATTCACGTAGTCGGGGAAATAAATCACCGAAGACAAAGCTTATTCTACCTGTAGACACAAAATCTATCGAACGAGAGACGAATATAAAGAAAATTATGCCACTCCATCAAAGCTTTGAAAGCAATGATATGAGAAGCTATCGTAATCATTCAGGCGTACACCTTCCACGACGACCAAATTCGAAACTAAAAATACTGCAACGGTTTTATCCGAATAATTTACTCGTTAAAGGGACCAAGATTAAAAATCGTTTGTTCTCACACTGTCGACGTTATCCACGTTCCTACGCACTGCTACTAATTCTTGGATTGATCGCGCTGGCTCTTTTCTACACAGGATATACCGTTGATCAAATGGCGAAATATTCTCGTCAACAAATGAAGATAATCTCAGCTTATGTAAACAAAAACATTTGAAGTGTAGTTCTTGTACAATATCAGTCGTAGTTTGCAGGACGACTTGGATTCTCATAAACATTGTGTAACTCTATAAACAACACAGGAAATTCCGATATTTTCGTTATGGGCTTTTAAGCTTATTCTAGTTTGGGGTTTGAATGAAATGAGAATTTTTCATTTGGAATAAATTACACGCTACGAAGTCAGAGTTACAAAAATTTTAAGTAATCCATGATTACTGATCAATGCAAGCAAAAATATTTTCATATATTCTCTTTTTTGACTTACTTTTTTGATTTTTTTGCAATAAGTTGATCATCTAATGATGAAAATATCATCTAATGATGAAAATATTTTTGCTTGCATTGATCAGTAGTGTTAGTGGATTATCAAAGTGGGTAATTATTTTTAACTGATGACCTTTGACTTGGAAAAAATAAAAAATTAATAACCTTATCTGATGTAATTACAAACTGTCAGTCACCAATATTGTCTTAATAAATATTTTGTCTCTTTATAATTTTTCTAGAACCGTGCTTTGAATTTATGATTTGTTTTGATACTTCGGGTTAAGAAATGTTAATAAGTATATATTTTTTATGCCATAAAAGACTCTGTGAAAGATTCTGTCTTAAATGCCAGTAGAGAAATTTGTAATATTCTTGTCACAGTTATTTTTTATCTCTTTGCTAGTTATTCTTGTCATTTTCCAGACTTTTCGTGTTTTTTGTTTTTATTGTTTGTTTTTCTACTCAGGTTCCACCTTGCTTTTGCTTTCTTGTCTGCTTCAGCTGAATTGGTTGAAGGACAAATCTCAGGGATGTGTATAGTATTTTTGATCTTTCTAAGCTTTTATTATTTTGTTCAAAGTTTCATTTTTTAAAATTGTTTTCTGATTTATAAATAAATCATTTCTTTGGCTAATTTTTTATTTGCTCTTATTTTCAAACTTTGTTTTATTTTTTCTATTTTAAATTTCTGTCTGCACAAAACTAACTTTTTTTAAAAAACATTCATTTATTTTGATAAAAAGTTAACTTTAGTCTTTCAACTTTACTATTTAAGTGATGTTTGAAGTAAGTCAGCGAATCATCTTTATCCTTTTCATTTGCATATTTGAGTGTGTACATATTTGTTTTCTGACTCAACAGTTTTCCCTAAAAACTGCTCTCGTAATGATCTTATATTCTCTTTTTTGACTTACTTTTTTGATTTTTTTGCAATAAGTTGATGTTTTTCTGCCAATAATAGCCTTTAGATGTCACATTTTGTCAGTTCCAAGCAAACGCTGTCTATTTTTCGCAGTTTTTCTTGATCGCTTGACATTGTTCTTTGCGAAATTCATTTTGTCTTTTGCGGTCTTCTAAGTTACGATTCTAAATTTAATATGGGATATTTTGGTAGGTTCTACGTCTTGGAGATGTAGTCAGATGTACGTCACTGACAAACTTTGCGGAAATTTGCTACATCCATAATAATACTCATTCATAAGTTGCTTGTATTTACAAATGGCTTTTCATTGATATCTCTTAGCTCGTGTAACGAAAATTTTTAAATGCATTTATTTCCAACTAAAAATTTTTACTTATTCTTTTGTTTTGACTTATCTTTTGTATGTATATCACGTCTTTTAGATACAGTGCAGAGTGTAGGATACTGTAGATTTATATTATGAATATGTTTTCAGGATAAAAGCAGCACTTGGTGATAAGCAGCTATTTCATGCTACAGTATATAATTCTTGCTCTTTGCTTGCATATTAAACAATAATGTCTGTATAATATAAATGTATGCAAGACAATTTTTTATTCTGAATTATACATTTATATATCAGAAAAATTACATGATGAAAGGCTAACATTCCATACATTCACTGATTGTAAAAAGCTATGAGAGAGTAGAGGATTTTATCATTCACTCCTTCGAAATAATAGCTGGATAGTATGTACATTCATTCAGTCACATTCTAACTGCCCGTTCACTTCATCCTTTGAGTTGAGTTTCGTGCGAAACATATTAAAAAATTATCAGTTTGAACGTCTGGAATTCAAGTTATCAATTGCAAAAAGAGATGAGAGGAATAACTGATAATTGCTTACAAATAATGACATGCAAAGAAGTAGCACTGAGTCAAAAAAGTTGAGAGTTACTGGAGAGAGGACAGAATGGTCTGAAGAGTAAGTCAGGCGTGATTCAACGCGTTTTTGAGGAAAGTATTCACTGACTTGTAATGTGATGATAGCTCAGTGCCGAACACAAACACCTCTTTGCTCTTCAAACGCACCACCAAATTTTCTTGTAAGAATTACTCTCATCGTAGAGATTAGTCTAGTCTAAATCATATAAAAGCAGTCAATGGGCATTTCGCACTAATTACGCTTTAATTTTGTTTGCAAGTATCTTGCATTTCAGTGAAATGCAAGATTTTATTCTCATCACTTTTTTCACTTCACTGCATAAATAGAAAAGCAAAGCACAGAACCAAAACTGCAAAGGAAAAGCTGTCATCATCTTGAGGCTTTGCATTCAGAAAATACGATTTTGTTCTTGAAAGATTCAGAATCAAACCATACTTGAGCATTTTTGAATTTTCTTTTTCTTACCTGTCTTTCAACTTTAATCTTACATTGAGAAATCAGTCATTTCAGTGAACAAATGCTGAAAAAAAGCACATTGGTCGCTTCTGACAATTAGAGTTCAATCACCAATTATTCCGTCATTTCATATTTTGCGCAGAGGCGAAGCTTCTTCTTTCAGTGATTATAAACTGTAACAAAAAGTTTACAAATTTGAATCACTGGAATGAATTGAAAAGAGTTGTTGTATGAAATTTGCTGTCTAAATATTCAGTCACTAATATTTATTACATGCGAGCAGTATTGCAAATTTGTATTGTTTTAAAAGAAATAATTAGTAATAATTGAAAAAATATTTCCAGTTTAAAATCAAATTTGCATTAATGTATTTATGCAATAAGCAGATGACTTTTCGGTAATACACAAATGTGCAACTACTCATACATTGAAAGCTTATCTTACCATTAAAATGACTAACCTATGTGCACTGACTTTCAGATCAAATCATTCAAATAAAAGTCTTAATCTTAAAAACAAATATCGAAGAAAATTTTATGCATTTTAGGATAGTATCAAAATAAGCAGACATGACAAAATCAACGTTATTTTTTAATACTTTGTCAATATTAATTTGGTTGTTTTTGGAAACAATTTAATTACAATTTATTGTTCGACAGAGAGACTGCTCCTAAATTCACATTAATTTAATATGAGATATGACGAGAGTATAATTAAACTTTTGCGTGGATTACTCAGAACAATAATGAAAAGACCAAATAATTCAAGACGTACCGGTTTTGCCAATTTAGCTGCAGCACGTCTATAACAAAACTGCTCATGTTTATATCCGCTATATTTAACGAATTTGGCATTATTTGCTGATAGGCTTGCATTAAATTGTTTTCTAATCAAATTAAAACAAAACTGAGTAAGACAAGTTTGACTAATCGAAAAATCTGTAAAAAACATGTAAAAAAGGGACAAGTTGGTGCAAAGCAACGTAGCACTCAGGCCGGGACGAGTGCAATATTGCCAAATGGTGAATTGACCTTCTGAATAGTGCAAAGGACACGGCCTGACTAACTAGTGCTATTTAACATGACCTTATGATAAATGCCCATTGATAAGGCAAAGGTCATCAAAAAGTTAATCATTCACAGATAAAAAAGATTTGATTTAGGATAAACAATCGTTGAAAATACCTGATACTAGCTATTTACTGTTAGGTGCTCAGATACATCAGTGACAGAGATGTAATCTTTAATTGAAAATACGAAATGACTCATCAAAACAAGTCAATCAATAATTTTTCCGTTAAAAATTAGTGAAAAATTTAACGATAAATTATAGAGGAATTTGGTGGTAAGTTATAATCGTTCCTAACATATTAATGGTGATTGCTCGTACAAATCGATGAATATCACACTTTAAATGAACATCAGATTAAAGAATCAGTTGCAAGCGTTGTGTGATTAATATTTCAGTTATGAGGTAAAACTTTATCACAAATGAAGATGATTTAGTGATTTTCAACACTTGACGGAAAGCAAATAATCCTCAGAAGACGATTTTCAGCGTTAATTTCTGTTTTTCGCACAATTGCAGTGTAAACTGGTAGCGAATGACTGAAACGAAAAGTCAAGCAAGTTATTTCAGCAACGAATCACGCAAGGGAGTAACTCCTTGCCTGTAGAGAAACAACCAGTAAATATCTTTCACAATGACTCATTCTGGAATCATTTCCAAATTCAACACATATTTGACTCTGACCTTTTCATGCTCAAATTCGCTTTTCTATACATTTCAGTTGGTAGAATACTGTCACGCTCATACATAATCTAACAGCTAGCATCAAAAAACTCAAAGTTATTACTTTCAAACTCAAACCTTTTGTTTCATTTATTTCAAGTTTTCCTGCCGTTCAGTACAAAAACCGTAAAAGTCATCCATTACTTTCATATAATGTAATTTCCGTATTCATTCATCAATTAAATGTGCTTAAATATGAAAAATGCGACAATATGTATGTATGTATAATTATTTCTATAATCGAATGTACTGTGAAATAGTACTCGTCACTGTGTGGTAATTGATGCTGTTAGGAGAATAAACAAAGCTACTTCTTCCCGTAAATCATTAAAAGTTTCCAGAAATTTGAAATTTAACTAATTTTTGAGTAATTCTCTTCACGCATTGCTGTAATAGTCCAGTTTGATTTGACTCCAGAAACTTTGAATGGTTTACTTTGCTTGCTTTTAGCATTTATTCTTCTGTAGCAACGTTATCCGAAACGTGTATCAGTTTTCTTCTGTAAGACAACAATAATAACAAACAGTAATTGTAATTTGTGTAGAACTGTTCGAAAAGACTGAAAATGTTTTCTCACAAACATTGATATTTTGAACAAATATTCTCATTCTTAATATTTTAGCATCATTTTCAATTTAAAATGTAGAACTGAAATGGCATTAAAATTAGCTTCAAATGTATTCTAATGAATAAAGTTAATATTTGCATTTGCAGATAAAACAATTAAATTCTAAGGAAAGTAGCGATAAAAATAATTGCTAAGAGAAGCAGAATAAGCAAGTTGAAGTGACAGAAACAAAATGATATGCGAAATTTGCTTAGATGAGGAAAAAGTAGGACAGAAGACAGTTAAGTATTCCTGACGATTTGCTTTAATAGTATTTGCTAGTGTGCACAGGTGTGTGTGTATGTGTGTGTGTGATAATATCTGGTTGTTTGCTGGTGGTGCAATGATTTTGGTATGATCAAGTTTATACTCAATCATCAGTATATAACTTGATTGCAATTGCCTAAGGCATTCTGCGAACAACCTTTTCTTCCTTTTTCAAAATTTATAACATTTTTATGCCAATGTAAATCTTACAGGTAAAGTCGCCTAAGGCATCTCCGGTCGAGTTTACTTTGCTGGAAACAAACTTTTACAGAGTAGTAGTATTTTATACTAGTGATAGTCAAGTCAAGAAATGATCAGCAATTATCTTCGATATTCATGTTGTTAATAGCTGGCAACACATAACTATAGAAAAAAAGCAATATCATAGGAAATGCACAAAATATGTTAATTCATTCCATACCATTGCTAAAAATAATCACTTATCATCGTCCTCATCTTTATCATTAATGATAAAGATAGCATGGTACTAATAACGATAATAATACAGCATTTAGCAAATAATAATCATAATAGTAATTGAGCATAATAATATTAACAACAACAGTAACAGTAATAAAAATTTAGTATATTAATGTTAGTTTATAAAATAAAGCAGTACTAAAGAAATAATGTTGCAGCATATTTTTAAATGTTTGATGATAATTACGATTACGGATAATGAGAAAAAATTAAACAGAAGCCATAAAATTGCATGCATAAAAAATAGCGTGAAAAGTACTATTTGAAAAGTAGAAATAAAAAAGTCGGAGATGAAAATACAAAGTAAGATAACAAAGCGAAACGTAATTAGAGTAATGGTCCTCACTGACAGTATCAATGAATAAAAGTATGCTTGAAAAAATAAAAAAACATTGTTTATGAGTGTGATTTTGGTAACAACAGTGATAATGACAGTGAGGTACTATTGAGAATAATAATGATAATAACGGTAATAACAAAAGAGTTGTTTTTTAGCCATTATTTTAACAAATTTTTAACAAAAGAAGAAAATTCAAAAAAGTAAATTTGTAAGTAAGGAAGGACAAAGACAGTGTAAAGAAGTGATTACCGTCATTTACTACTGCCTTCTGCACTTAACTCAATTAATAACTATCAACAAAAAATTAACCAATCAAAAATTTTGCTTGAAAAGATGCAAAATTTTTGATTGGTTGATTTAATAAGCAGTTGCTAGGTGGAAAATTTAACAAATAATATAGTCTTGTGATAAAGCCTTAGCTAAAATGTAAGTCTAATGAAGCATTTTAAAGAAGATGCGGTTTGATACAGAAGTGATGTGATGACAGTAAGCAGTGATGAAAAATGTAATGAGGACCTAGTCACAGTAACAATGGTAATGATGATAGTAAGAATGACGGTAATGTCTTAATAAAATGGAGATGGATTTTCTTCTATCAAAGCACAAAGAAGTTATCTCAGTTTTGAATGTCGCAGAGGCATCCTTTTATTTGCTATTCACTGAAATTTGTTTTTTGCTTCCAACTGCATTACCATCCGTCTTGACGAATGGAAATTTGAATAAGAATTTCCTACTTGGCATGTCGAAGTGACAAGGAAAACAAGAATTTGCACATACATCACATTCATTATTTAATCTACAAACCATTCAAATTATTAACACAGCAACATTTATTAGGAATTGCTATCACTGATTTCGTTGTCTGCCATCGCTCGCCTACTATCAACAATGCAAATAATTACTGCCCAATCATCAACTTTTATGAGTAATGCTTCTTCAATCAATTACTGATATTATTGAGCTTTATTTACTAGTACTGAAGTAAAATTAATAGTAATAATATCGATGATAATAGTTATATATAACTAATAAAATAATAATAATAATAATAATAATAATAGAAATAATAATAATAATAATCATAATAATAATCATCATCATAATCTATTATTATAGCAATAATAAATCAAATTATTAACACGAATTGCGACGAAAGTAATGAGTGACGGTTTAATCTTCATAATATTATAACACTATTTTCATCAATCAGTGAAAATATTGTTTGTAAACTTATTACTACGCAACTAACTTTTGTTAATAACATGGCCTACATCAATATATTGTTTGCAAATTGTACGTCACCATTGCTTGAATATAAAAAACATTTTATCGAGATGAATTCCCGAAGAGAAGGAAGGGCAGGAAAACAAACAAACCACTGTTCCATTGCTTATCGTATTAAATCAACAAAACACAAACTACCATAACTTCGTTGCCACTACATCAGTATTCTCTCCTCTAATTAAAGCACCGCCAACTACTATTTGCTTCAAAACTCTGCCTGAGTGGAAGCTTCTAATCCCCAACTCTATTGTATAAATTAACGCATTCAATTTATCAAGTTGCATCAGTTGACCAAAATTAACCAGAACTTATGTGGAAAAAGATCAAAATAAGTTTTACGGACTTTTCGACATACTGCTGTTAGTAGCATAACCGTGTGTGTAACTTACTACAAACTTTACTGTGTGCATTTTGTTATGAACAATCCTAAATTATTGCAAAGATCGATGACTTCACAAATGACCACTGATTAAGGCATTGATATTCGACTGATGGCATAAACACTTGTAACAATGACCATCCAAACCTCTTAATAAACAGTAGGGATAATGCTTCCGACTAAGCTCCAACATCTTTTTACAAATGCACCCCACCTACATCTCTTAATTACAATGCTCAATGTCTACTTTACCAACATCACTTGAAGAACTTCCGAATGAAAATATTTACAAACTTCATATTTATTCAGTGATGTGTCAAGGTTAAAATAGATAAATAATTTTTTTGCAATTCCATTTCAGAAATTCAAAATCAAATTGACCACTATTCCAACAAAAAGAACGCAAACTGGAAAAACAGGATCTACCAGCAGAGGCAAGATTTGTACCGCAAATGAAAAATCCCTTTGCTCTTACATTCTAAGCAAACAGTCTTGAACAACCTTTTCCCAATAGTATACCTTTAAATTATTAGAAAAAAAAGCAAAAGACGAAAAAGGAAAAACAATACAATGCAACGGATGGCCACTGACAGATTTGTTTTTTAACAAGTCTTTGAAGAGTCAAGCATTAAAATAAACACCAGCCAAAGTTTTTATCTTGTAAATAAGACTAAACATAGAATGCAATGTTTGCAAAGTGCGTTATTCAAGCACATTTTTTTCAATACAAAACAAATTTTTGTAGCCCATGAATCACTGATAATCACAGTTGTATTCGGCAATGTCCCAGTTTCCAACAACGACCTAAAACCAAAAAGTTTCTGTTTTGCTTTTCAACTAAAATAAAGTATTATTATGACTTAATAGCAGGAAAAAAATCACAAAAAGTCTAACAACGACTGCGTTTAAAAAATTCACCTCTGGTTTCCCCAACTGAACACCATCTTTGTCAACAATTGAAATTTCAAATTCATTGTCAGCAACACAGTCGTGATAAATGCTCAGTTCTAGACTTTTACGTAGGACTTCAACTGCCTATTACATGATCAGTTTGGAACTGATTCCAAACAACACAATTGAAATTAAGAGAAAGGTAAATATAATGAAGAATAAGACAATTATTAGCAATATTTTGTGAGGAAATACTGCAGCGCATTTTTACATTCATGAAAATAAGAATTGAATACACAATTATGGCCAAAAGCTAACTGAAATACCTGATCTTTAGAGAGTTTTCCATTAGTCTTTGATTGCTCAGTTTCAATGACTTGATTCAATAGCATTGCACCCATTCCAGTAGCAACACTTTTTGTTCTATATGCCACACCTCTTGAATAGTAATATTTTTTAGGAAATAGCTAATTTTGAGTGCTTAAAAATAATCACGAACATAAAGCACCATTGCTGAGTCATTACTCAGTTGTCTAAGACATTATTTATAAAATCGATATTAAATTTCTATGATAATTAGTATTAATATTATATAATTTGATGATTTTTCCATAATTCTCATAGAGTTGGAGATCTGTTAATGCATTTAGAGCGATAACAAGAAAAAAAAGATAACCTAGAAGTGATAACTCCAATAAAAGGCTCAAGCTGGTCATTCATCTTTTGCATTCCAACAACTACCAATGTGTTCCATAGTGGATTCATTCGCGTACGACGGTGATACAATAACGATGTAAGATAACCATGTAACATTTTTGGACTCAAATCAGCAGTAGGATCATGTGATTTCAGCACACATGTCTTAAAAGAAAATTATCCTTCAAATTAGATGAGTAATGAAACCATACGCAGCGAATTTCAAGATATTCAAGAGATGAGTGATAAAAAGTAGTCAAAGCAGTTTTTAACTAGTTAGCACTTAGATTTTGCCATGAAACAAAAATACCTACTTGTCTTTCTATGACATTCTGTAACCACTGGAAATCAGCATGATCACCACCAAAAGCAATAACGACACGATTATTAACACGATACTGACGAGTAACGTGTCGGTATCGAGCCATTTTACCGTATGAAACAAGACGATCAGACATAACAGCAACGCCACCTTCAAATGTGATGGCACACACCGAAGTTCCCATACATGTCGGATTTCTATAGTAATAAAAAATTATTTGGTTTCAATTATTTTAAATTACACTATAATTTGTAAAAATTACAGAAATGCTGAAAAGAAATTAATTATACCTTACAATATTCTACTTCAGACAGTTATGGAGCCATCATTTTCATAAATAGATAACCGTAAAGAAAAAATACTGAGAACTACTTCTCATCAGGAATATGTAAAATATTAATAAGAACTTTTAAAATGCTGAAACATTTATAAAAATACAACTTACATAGTCCTTTCGACTTCTGAAAACGACATATTTTGAAGAGTGTGTATCGATACAATTCCTGGGAATATATTTCTTAAACAAAGATCAAAATGTTAAGAAATAGATAAATACTATTTTAGTCCTGATGCTTATTCTTTATAGCACGCAATATTTCGATATGATGCTTGGCAAACTCGAGCTATCTATAAAGTAACTTCCGAAGCTGACTTAAATTTTATCCATGATAAGGATTAATTCAGCACAATACTACAGAACATTCTAAATATGTGATTTCACAGGTATTTTTTCCCATTGGAATCAAATGTTTCAGAAATCATGAAATTCTTTTGATCACGAATTGCCACAAAGATTATATAAATCGTAAGGAAATTTAGAAGTTGCTTTATAATCTCCGAAAATTCAAAACTTTTATGAAAAAAGTAACGTAGAACATTTATATCAGTTAGAAATCTATTCACCGTAATTGAAATGAAAATAAAACACGAATATACAGACACAACTGTTAACAACAGTCATTTAACATTTGAAAGTAAAAACTGTAGCAAACTCGTAAAATCTTATAAATATAATCAGATAACCGCAAAACAACCCGTCATAACACAAGGATACAAAATACTGAAATAAAAATGAGGGAAGAGACGGAATCGTTTACAAGCATTCCAAATAAAAACATAGTCCAGATGTAATAATGTATTTAATACTCATCAAAAAATATGACTGTCTAAGCTGCCCTTGTACTATCATTTTCACGAAAACACCACAGAATTTTCGTCATAAAATGGAAATTGTGAGCTGAAATTTTTGCCACTTTTTTCTTTAAAAACAACATGATAACAACATTACTTTTTCAGGAATATGCAGTAAAGAGAAGAATTCAAAGTCAGTAAAATTAAATAGTTTCATAATTCATTATTTATTTAAAATATTTAGTCGTTTCACTCCTCCATGCACTAGAAAATTCCCATAAATTTCAAATATTCTTCGCTATTTCGTGAAAGGTATACAAAGCATTAGAATTATTCTTGATTCTTCCTTTCACAAGCACGAACTTTGACAACATTAAACAAAACCTTCACAGTCTTGCCGTTCCAATGCTGCTCTGAAACGACAGCAGTTCCTACAGTAAATGAATGTACATCCCTCACTTGCTGGTAAAGAACAACGAGTGCACTCCAAATAAGCTTGCTTTTTGCATTTTCCTTTATAATATTCAATCTGAAAACTTTGCAGCCAATTTTTATTAAAACTTATAGGCGGAAGTCGCCTCTTACAACAAAAGTTAAAAAGTCTAATGACTATTCAGAAAAGCTCTTCTACTTTTAATATCACTCTTGCAAAAATCTTCGAAATTAGCTTTACTGAAATATAAATACATTCGATTTGTTGACATTGAAATAGAAAGCGTTAAAGTTAAAATTAATGATGGAAAACAGATCAATAAAAATAAGCAAAGAAAATACGCAGTTGTATTGCTCGACCAATTTTAAATGTCAAAAAAAATGAAACATAATTTAAGCGATAGTTGCTCTGTTTTGCACCAATTTCAAAAAAATTTATGTACTGAGATAAGCGATGAATTAAATGCGTCTCACTGATGACATAAAATTTTACTTTCCTTTTTTCTCGTTTACGTAGTTGCCTTTTTGAGAGACCCGTTATTTGAGCTAAAGCGTCAAGTTCTGCTCGCCGTTTTTCGCGGTATACTGAATCAGAGACTGTCGAGTCATCACGTACAGGACGATAGTACGGTTTACAAATCCAATGTGGCATTTTTGAAGGCGTGTTAACCAAAGCTAATGCTTTTACTTCTGCACATAAAAATAAAATAAAATCATTACTATAGGCTTATAAAAAGAGAAACTAGAAAAAATTGTGAAAATTTATTCTAAAACCTGCTATAGAGATAATAAAAAGTATGCAGTCTTGCAAAATACAGAAACATACCTGCAAAATGGAGTCCTTCATTAGAAACTGATTCAGTAACACGCTTTTCCAGATCATCCAAAATATGATAAAACTCTTCGAAATCACAAACGCACGACAATTGTCTTCGTAAATCTGCGTATTCTAATAGACTGAAAAACTGTAAAATTAAAGATATGCATCCCAACATAATACAACATTCTTTTTTTTTAATACGTGGTTTGGATTTACTTGGCATTAGTTCGAAGAAATATATGTCATAATAAGTACAGTAGAGATATAACTATAACGAATTACAGTGCTCGAATATGTTCATCTGTGATATAATACATGGGAGTGACACAGAAATAATAGCTGAACCTGTGATGGCATATACGGAAAAGATGCGCTCTTACAGTACTAATATTCGATGCATACTTTACAGCAAAATCCAAATATTCTCGAGCCACTGTCCAATTCACTTCGTGCCGATTTTCAAACAAATAAGGGTTTGAAAGGATGCCCTCTGCACTCATTACTGCACAGGCACCAGTTATTTCCAGGCAACGATCAACATCACCCGGTAACTAAACAAATTCTAAACTCAGTTTTGTTCCATACAAGTGTCATATTAACTTTGCATAATTCATATTTTGTTGTTAAACCATAACTACATGGACCAAAAGCAAAGCACGACCTGAATATTCCCATTAGCAACAACTGGAACATCAACAGCTTTTACTACGGCGCGCATTGCAGACCAATCTGCTAAGCCTGTGTTTGCACCTCGTTGTTCTCGAGTTCTTCCGTGTACAGTTAGCATGCAAGCACCTGCACTCACTATAGCCCTGAGAAAGTATGTGAATTAAACTTGAATAAAAGGCAAAAAATTTTATAAAACTGACTTGGAAGATACCGAGTCTATATTAATTAAGAGTCATTCTATGTTCGGATGAGCTATCATAATGTGTTTAATAGAGTAGATAGTAATCAATTTCATTAATGCTTTAAATTGAATTCATTCAGCAGGAAAAAAAATCAAATCACAGTAATAAACCAGTAATTTTTTCTGGAGCTCAATGTCGGATGTTACTATAGTTTTTATCTGTAAAATCAATTATTAAGATCCATGTTGTTTTTAATAACTCAATCTTTATAGAAAAACATACTTAGCATAGGCAATGGTTTCACTAACATCTTCAAGGATCCGTATTTTACAAGATAAAGGTAGTCGAAATCGTGAATGCAAAAGCGAGACCATCTCACAAATTAAGTTTAAATTCTCCTGAAAAAAGATTTCAGCACACAATCTACATACCATCACAAATGAAAGAAAACAGAAGCATAATCAAATGTTTGAAAGGCTATCAAAGTAAGATAACTGTAACATAATGAAGTACAAAAGCAAAAAATAAAATAAAGTAATAAAATTTGATAGGATTTTTTGCATCAACGTGTAGCGTGTACTACATCAACTGTCTGGCTACTCTATCCTTCTTTACAACAAATTTTGAATATTTTTTTAAAAAAGTTAAATTAAAGGAAGTTAAAACACATTTCTTCAAAACCTGCAAGTAAGCGCCATAATGTCCGCGTTTGGCAATAAGTTGAGGACATCCCAAATTTAAGTCTACTCCATCACAAAAACTTTCAACTAGCTGACACGCAGCCAACAATGTAAATGGATCATTAGCACAGAACTGTACAACCAATGGTCGGTCTTCAGGACATGATGTTAACACCGTTCGACGATAAGTAAAATCCGTAACAAACAAATGCGCATGTATCATAGGTGAAAAGCAAAGATGAGCACCATGTTTTCGTAACATCATTCGGAACGCAAGCTCACTGAAATTTCAAACACATATCACGAGAACATTTAGAAAAGTAACTCATTGTATTGACAGACAACGAAGTCAAATTTTCTAATGAAGATAAACACGTACTTAGAAGCTAACGAACTCTTGCCTCATTTTTTTTTCATTTGAAAAAGAATGCTTTAGCAATAGCTTTTTTTAAACATATTTTACAAATTAAAGCTGGAACTGCTGAACTCATTAAACTACTTGACATGACTAGGTGAAACAAGGAAAAACCTCTGATCGACCATTGGCGCTGCTACACAGCGGATTAGTTTCATTTTCTCCGACCAAAATGATTTCTTTGCTAATTTACCAGATTCACTGAGTTCCGGAGGATTCTTTTCATATGAAGCATATTTGTTAACATGAAAGACAGAGCTATTGATAACATCCTCCATGTACAGTTAGTAGGCTATTCAACCTAAAAATGTGAAATTTACGATTAAATACGCCACAGTATCTCATTATTACATATCTCAGACACTGCTTTAAAGCTCTGGATTCTAGCGCTTCCAAAAGTTCACCTCAATTTCTCTACGGAAAGAGGGCTTTGATCACGATATCCTCATCAAGTTATTACTACTATCAAAAGAGAATAGATTAATAAACACTGAACCACCTCTTGATCTATAAATTCATTATCATCATCAAAATGACGAAAAATCTAAAGCAGGTGCTAATTTGCGATAGGTCTGTGTTTGTATTGCAAAGTCTGCTAAAATGATTTAACAATGAATCATATTTAGTCGCATGGATCCTGGACACATGGGAACAGCTAAGGGATGAGGTTATCATGGAATCATTTACTTTCTACTTTAGAAATGGAATATAAAACTGTGCACTTCTATTTATTATTTTTTGAACAATATGAAACGTAAAATTTATTAGTTACCAGTGGGCAACTTTCAGGAGTTGTCCATTTTAACTTCAAAACTAACCTTGCATCTAGAAGTTTCTGAAGTTTGTGAAGCTTCTGCATATTTTCTATTCAACATTTCCACCATAATTTAACCAAATTTTACCTTCATAGCAGTACTGACAATTGCTAAATAATCGCAAATTTATGGTTTTGGGTAAATTCATGATTCTTTCTGAGAAAAACTGGAAAATTGAGTAACAAACGAAAATACTATTATGTGACAACATCTGTGATTTTTAAAATGCATTTCAGTCATTTCCGCATAATATTGTGTGTTTACTATTATATTGTTACTTTATAATTGAAAAAAACAAACAGATCATTCATTAATTTTTGAATTGAATTCAGTTGTGCAGTTCCAGAGTAATTATCTTTGTTATAGACAAAAAAATAAGTTCTGTTTTTCAACTAGAATTAAGACTTTACTCCTCGATATGCCTGTATTTCTGTAGACTATGGTTATTTAAAAAATATCATTTTATTGCAGTTTCAGCCGAAAAAAGTTTTCAGTAAAGATGAGTGTTGATGAATTACGGAAGCAGCTACAACACTCGCAAAAGCGCGAGAATCTAGCAAATTTGAAATTGACAATAAAGGAAAAGCAGTTGCATGATTTAATGGTTTGTTTTCGTTTGCATGCGAGAAAAATTATTTTTCATCACTATACACTTTTATTAATTTGTATAGTTCTTATTTTCGTATCAATAAAAGAGCAAAAAAAATTTAACCATGAATGTAGTTTATCGTCTCTATTCTCTCTGTAGAATAAAAACATACAAACTCTCTATAGTTCCCTTAATAAGTTGAAAAAAGAGTTATAATATTAAACTTCATTAAATTTTTTCTTTTTATTAAGAACCTTAGTTTGTTCTTGAGCTCTCACCTGCAGCTAATTTTGAGCTACTACAAAAACTGAATTTTCTATCACTAATCAGTATTTATATTCAGTCTTTTTACTGTGAATTAAATATAAGTTGGGATCAATCATTTTCTGATTTAAAATATTCCTTTCATGCAGTGCGTGCTTTCATTTTTCTAGGAAGAAAATGAAGCAATGAAACGTAATGCAGCAGATGAGAATAAAGCAAATTGTGTGATGGTTGACCATGCGGTTGGGATGGTTTTTACAGCTATGCGCGAAGGTATTCGTAAGGCCAATAAAGAAGCAAAATTAGCTACACTTGAACTGAGAGGTCGCAAACATGGACGAGAAAGGTTTTTGTCTCACTTATCTAGTTTCTGCGATTATCTATTCTCACTTTAATTATTAACCCTCTAGATAAACTAGTAAGTTCTGAAATTGATATTTCTTTTGTAAAAAATCTCAAGTAATTCATTGATGGCACTTAAATTTTTATTGTTCAGCAGTGAAGTTAGAACATTGGTAGCAATGTGCAAAAGGCTGGAAACAGAAAAAGCGGAATTGAGAGATGAAGTAAGAAGAGTAGTTCGTTTAGATACTTTATGGAATTACAGTAAGAAAACTGTGGAAGGATTGAGAAAAAGATGTCGAGGTCAGTTTTAAAGAATTTTTTAATTTTTTTCTCTTTTCAGACTTGGTAAATGAACATATTTGACTATTTTGTTCTGGACTGGGGTTGTATAGTTTGCGCTTTTCAAATAAATTTTAAAAATATTAATTTTCAGGTTTTGCGTTATTTTTCATAGAATCATATTTTTAACTTCGTACCTCATGAAAAATTGTTGATTTAGATTTTTCAGAGACTATTCAAACTATTATTGTTGCAATCACTATACACTTGTTTATCTTTCTGAACAATTTTACTTTATTTAATATATTAAACATTACAGATTTTGATAGTATATTAGCCGAACGTGATGACGAAATAAAGCGTCTACAAATGGAATTAGCACGCCTACATGAGGAAAATTCACGATTACGAAGGAATTTAGATCGAAGTCAAGCATCCCAAACACAAAAAGACGATCAAGTCTCTAGATTGAATGGTACGTCAGTTGGTTTATTTTTTTAATGTTTGAACTCAGAAGAGTAGATAGCTGAAAGATATTTTTTTCACTAATGACTATTCGTTTTTATTTTTTTCTTATGAACAACTGTATACAAAATTTATTATTTGGATTTTGATAACATTCTGAAATAATTGTGTTACAGATATGGGTCATGCGGATGTTAGTATTGTTAGCAATGAAAACGCCGAAGAGGTATCAAAATGTTTGTTCTTGTTTAAACTGCAATTTTTATTGATGCAAAGGTTCCTACAAATTTAGTATTTACTTCTATTTTTGTAAAACATTGTTTTATTTCCAAAATGCTTTAAGACAGTCTCTTTTTTTAGATTGTATCAATATCTAGTCATGAATCTACGCATGATGAAATGGAGGATGATGATCAGGTAGATCGAGTTCTAACTCCTGGCGGTAGTGCTGTTGAAGCTATAAATGTCTCTAGTCCTGAATCACTTCATGGAGCTCCTGAACCAGAGACTATATCCAGCGATGAACAGGATGTTCCTGATACTCCATCCAAGATTCATCAGGATTTTTATAATTTATAGAGTTTTTTTACTGTTTGCTGACGGCATAAATTATTTGAATACCCCATCGGAATGAACTATGTGCAACTTAATACAATATTTTCTAATAAATTGAAAGTAAAGAAATAAATATTGTAATGGAATTTCTCTTATATTTCTATTTCTCTTTGCCGTATTTTAAAGATACACTGGTCACATTGCTGTATATTCGTGCCTGCTTTTGCACTTTTTTGGAACATACGAAAAAAAGTGCAGAAACGTCATAGGAAATGAATAAAAAGATCTGTCTTCCTTGTCTTGGTTTGATGGCATTACTTTTAAATGGGGAGTTGAATAATTTGTGTCATAGGACTTCATTAATATTTGAAATTGTTGAATGACTACTTAAGATTTTATAATAGACACAGATTAGTTCTGCATGTTGTAATTTTTATTTGCTTTTAAGGAATATGATAATGATCAATTAAGGTGTTTAGAATGGTGGAATGGATATTATATTTTGCTTAATTATATTAAGTGAATCAGAAGGATTTAATGCTATCATATTAAGAAGTCTTGATTGTTGCTCATTTTGGTGCTGCTTGGGCTGATGACAGGAAAGATGAGCGAATTATACGACCGTTAATTGGTTGTACTGGACGAATTGGTAACATTGTTTCTTCAAATTCGCATTCATATCCTTCACGTTTCAGCGTGCGTAATTTATCTAACTACAAAAGCATAATTAGCCAGTATTGCATTATTTCCGATTAGTTGTACAGTACTACCGAATATTTACCTGGCTTGATGATATCTGAATGGATGACCTGAAAATGATCCAGTGGACAGTTTCTCTGTAGGGGGGCACTGTTTCTGATCCATTATATGTCCAGAATTCCTTCATTTTTTCTATAGATAAAATGCAAGTAATTTTTAGTTATATGAAGCACGAAAATTAAAATTCATTGAAATTGAGGCGGAAGGACACCGATTATTTAAGCTTTTTGTTTCAATTTTCCTCCAAGTTTTCATTTTTAATTTAGTAAGTATTTATGAATATTGTTGTTTTGTTTCTAATTTCATCCACTCACCATTAAGTAGATTTGTCAGGAAAAGTGAATAGCGTCATACCTGAAGAAGGTAGTAGTCGAAGTAAATTAACTCCATGGAGTGCGCATTCACTTCCTTTATAAACAACTTGCGCGATACCATCGGTGATTGCTGACATTATTGGATTGTCATCGTGGGACTCCTAAAACATTACATTCACATGAAGTGGTGTTTTAAGAATTAGAGTATTATTTTTTTCAAACTACGATGAAATAGTTTGCCATGAATATTTTTGTGTCGTAAGTCTCTACTGAAAAAAGTAGGGATTGAAATTAAACGTCTCTTAGAAGTTATCACTTATTTAGAATAATGAGGATGATTTTTATGAAACAAAGATTTGTTGGAAATGATGTTCAGTCTTTACGTGAATAAGTGATATATGTAAAGTATGCATCATTCGAAGTATGAAAATGCGCACATATAAGTAATATTTTGCTTTAATTAATGCTTGGGACCAACATTGAGTAGAACAGCCAGTGCTAATACGCCGTTCTCTTCTTTGAGCGCAGAATCAAAACTCGCAAATCGTAAGTTACGATGCACGAACTGTATCTCCCCCGCATAGCCAACCCCGCCGATCGTATGTTCGCTACCGTTCATTGGCTCCGCACCCCAGTGTAAGTACACAGTCTCCAAAACGAATCGTTCCCCATTGAAAAGTACGCTGGATAATTCAGCACAATACGTCGAGAGATTAAGCTGTAGTTGCAAGCTATCACCAGCATTTCTTAGTCGAATCTCGACACTTGTTGGATAGCTCAATCTGAATACCTCAAATTTCATTACCGATTATTTCAAATAGATCTCACATTTTTTTGGATATATTTGTTTTCATAAAGTTGCTCTTTTCTTGTAGTCATAAATATATATTACTAAGAGTTTATGATTCTTGCTGCTATTCATTTTTTTTTACATTTGCACCCCAAAATTTGTAGTCAAGTCCCACGTCTACAATTTTATTTCTTGAAAATAGTGTCTTTGTTGATAAAATCTCAAAAGTATCAGTTTTTGTCTTCTCACTAACCTCGAGATTATAATTCAAATTTTTCGCTTACTTTTCCGGTCTTTCTGCAAACTTCTCAAATTCAAACGTTTTTTGGATATTTGGGTCAGAAATTCAAAATTTTCAGCAAAAGGAATGCAAATTCAGGATGACAGGCTTTTCTCTGCAGAATGAAACTATTAAAATCGAATAAAAGTTACTCATTCGTTTTTATTGCCGATACTTTGGGAAAAGTTGTTTTTAATTAATAATTCAAGGCATTTTTTCTTTATGTTTTTTAATTTGATTGCTTCCTGGAAAATTAATTTTTTGGCTCTTTTCAAATTTCACTTTTAAACAATATTCTTCCGGGAATCTGAATACTTTTATTTTTTTCATTTTTCACATTGTTTTCATTGCTTCATTACTATCAGAATAATCTAATTTTGGTTATTTTATATATGACTGCTGATAATAATTATCATCATAAGTAGTACAGTGAGATAGAGATACTATACTTGGTGGTATGAATGATAAAAGATTTCAAATACGTATAGAAATGATAAATAATAATTCTGTTGTTATGATTATCTATCTATTATGATTGCATTATAGACTAGTTATTTAGAAAAAGTATGCAATTATAAGAATGAAAAATGATTCAGTAAAAGTAATAGGAAATTGACCAAAGCAGTAAATTTTGGTAGCATTACTTTCCATTATATATAGACTTGTATTTATATTTATCACTTTCTTTCCTTACTCAATACGTATATATCTGATTACTTTATTTCAGAATTTTTGAGCGTACTATCAAAGGCTGTATAAATTGGCAGTATATCAATAGGGGATTGTTTGCGATCACTCGTGACCTAAAATCATTTTATAAATAAAATATTATCTGGAATCGCTCAATAACATAGTGATGCAATCTAAAATCGTTAAAATTTTCACTGCACAAATTTGTTGATAGTGAAATAAATTTATAAAACTTGGAATTCTACAATATTTAATCGCATTGCTATTGTTGTTGAACATTCTAAGCTTTCTGTTGAGAAATTTATAAAAAACTGTAACGATTTATTAGCCTACCTGCAGAATTCTACCAAGGTTATCAAGCTGCGCAGTTGCTTTATTGAAAATTGGCTTCAAGTTATCTCGCGCACGACTCGCACTTTGTAGTACGGAGTTTAGTTGTGGCTTCATGTTATTAAGCTGGGCTTGAACATTTGCCGTAAATTGACCCAAAAATGCCATTGTTAAGCCCTACAACTGCTAGCTATTACTGAAATTTTAACTTTTAACATGTATTCATTTCAAGTAAGATTAAATTCTTGTAATTCAATTTGAGAAAGGCTTAGCATTTCATTCACTGAATTTACTAAATTTTAAAAGTAACAGCAGACAGAAAAGAGAAGGGCAAGTTTTGCGAGTATAACAACACACTAAGTGAAAGATTAAATTAATTGCGCACATTCGTTTCACCTTAAAATGCTGGAAGTTAGTGTATCCGTTAAGCTCAGGTATGAAACAGAAACAATACTGTGAATTGGTTTTAATTTAGAATATGCAAAATTCATTATTGCGAGAGCTTATTATTGCTTGTGCAGAAATTCATTTTGTTGCATTGAAATTTGACTTACTCAGATTACTAAGTGTCTGCAGTGTTTACTTTGTTTTCGATCAAATTTATCTTTTGCTATGTGTCTAAATGAAGTTAATAAATATTGTGCTTGTACTGCTTGTATATATTGCAACAACTGAAATACAAAACTCATTGGAAATGACTGAAGCGAAGAGCAGAGCAGCATTTTATTGTTGGAACTGTGTCCATTTTATCGAGACTAAGAAAGTATAATGGAAGGAGTCAGTTGCTGGAATTAATTCCATGTAATGCAAAAGAGATAAACTCGCTGTTATATAACGAAAAAATATTCTTCTATAACTGATCACTTCAAACAAAAGCTATTGCTGGCCTCCATGGAAGTTTTTTGAAATAATATCAAGAAACAAAGAGTTTTATTTTACTTGCCAAATTGGCATGTTCAAAAGAATCTTTTAGTCTCAGTAATGTCTTAAAGTAAATAATAGTCTTAGAATAATGTCTGTGGACATGCCAATTGGGCAAGTAAATCACATTTTTTCTGACAAAATGTGAAAGATAACAACAAGAAATAATATCGGAAAAAAGCAGTAAGCAACGTTGATGTTCAGTAGATAATGCAAATGCGTAAATAATTACTACCGCAAATTCTAACAGCTGAATTAAAATCAAATCTTTGATAAATTTGATAAATTTTGGATAATAAGTTATTTACGAATTGAAAGAGGAAAAGTTGGGCCTTCTGATTCCGTAGAAAATTTATGAAAACATTTAATCAAAATAAAAATTTGTGAGTAATGAAAACCTTGTCATTATTAGTTTCCGAAGTGAAAATTTTTGGATGCACTAAACTTCAGCTTGTATTCTACCTCTTACTCTTGAATTTTATAGCATTAATAAGAGCAATGTGAAACTATCAATTGATGATAAATAAATTGCAGGAAAAGCATTTTGACGCTTGAAAATTCTGCTAGTACTTACAAAATAATGCTTCAAAAAGATGCAAATGTAGCAGAAGTTATAGTATAATAATAATATTTGCCGAACTAATTTGAAATACTTTTCAATATTTAAAAGTTATTAATGAGAAAAAGGAAATATTTTTAGTTAGATAGGTAGAAAGTAGACAAAAGTTAATTTGCTGATACTTGGTATTATTTATTATCTATCCTTTAAGTTTGTCAGAAATGGTAGAAAACTTTTAAATATTTATTTTGGCACAAACAAAAAAGGAAGGCAAAAATTACGCATAATTAACTGCAATGAAATATTTAATAGCAGTAGTAATGATTAATATTAGTGATAACAACAGCAATTAACAGATGACAAAATTGCATTTAAACCAGAAAATTGAATTATTTGCACACTTTTTTCGCGTATATATCATTATATAACAAAAAACAATTACTTTTTATCAAATAAATTTGTGCATAATGAAGTTGGAGCTAATAATTTCAGCAAACTGTTATTATTCACCATTATTACTACTATTAATTCTTTCATTGCAACTAATTAAGCATACTTTCTGAGCTAAAATTTTTGCCTTCGATTTTATTTATTCAAAAATGTGAACTGCAAAATGTTTGCATTAGTTTTGAAATGAATTGTTTTTACATCAGCATGTAGAATTATCTCTTCAAACATGTGCAAAATTACTCTGAGTGAATTTCCATTAAAAATTGATGCTTACACGAGAATTTATTAAAATTTCATTGAAATATTGAATTATTGCTGTCTAAGCATTCAAATAAAATTTCCATGAAAAAGTTAAAACCTGAATAGATTATGAGTGAAATATCTATAGTAAATAGTGAATGGTCACTATGTATTTCAGAGTTATACTACAAGTACTGAATGAGATAAAATGTGAAATTTGCAATGCTGACATTAAGCTTTTGCCAAGTGTATGGTTACAAACTCAAAATTGCAGACATTACTAAAGGATTTTTAGAGGTAAACTGACCGGCTTGTATCACATGTATTGCTAAACGTGAAGACCACTAAACGAGTCTGCAAGTAATCGAAGTAATTTGATGGACAACTCAGACTCTAACATCTTTGTGTAGAAAAAAGTCTGTCTGAAGTAGCTTGTAGTTAGTTACGAGTCTTTGAGACTTTCTCTGCATTGCTTCTTTTCTAGACAACTTCAGAAAGTGTCTTCAGAAACAGAAAACAAATTGTGTTTTTTCAGTAGTATTACTGAATGCTACGAGTTGAAAAGTGAAGGAAAAATATTGAATTGGCACTCATTTGTCGCGTTATGTCCTTCAAAATGGTTACTTCACTTTGTTTCCGATGAAGCAAGCATTTTCAAAAATTTCTCACAGAATACTTTCTAGAATTCATTTCTGGAACTATGAAATATGTTGCATCTGAGTGCAATTTGCAAAAAGTTTTGCTTCAATGCATACTAAACTCTATTTCGGTGCTTGAATGTGAAGTTGTTTGCTTTTGAAAACAAAGCTAAATGCTTGATAATTTTAATCAAAATGGATCACTGTGGCGATTTGGACTGGAAAAATGAATTATTCATTTTAAGACTACAAATCAACAACTGCAATATGCCTTTTTAATTAATTATTCGTTTATTTCAGAGAGGTTTAGTGTTTGGGTTAAGTTTTAACTTTTTGAATTAAATGTTATTCATTATTATTTCATTAAATTTATTGATGAAAAACTTTCAATTGAAATAAAACGATACTTATTATGCAATAGTTCGCTCTTTTAATAAAGCTATAAAATTCAAAACTTATTTGTTTGCTTGCTTGTTTGAAGCATTAATCATACCGCTGAAAATTGACGGACAAAAAGGTTGATATGTTGATTGCTTACTTCTATTCTGAGAGCATAATAATCTTAAACAAAAAACAACAATTAGATTTAAAAATTCTATCCTAAGCCAATAATTCCGCAAGTAGTTGATTGAAAAATTCTGACAATATTAGTGCTCGCCAAAACAAACTCATTTTTAAATTCTTAATTTTAATTTTTTCACTGCGTATTGCTTATATTATGTATGAAGAAGAGTTTGTATGGCTGTGAAAAATTTTTAAGGTTAATTTGGAGAGTTGGAATTTTGCTTATTTATTCTTGTAGTAAACGGGAAAATAAGAATAAAAATTTCGCGAAGAAATAAAGGCAAACTTCAACATAGACCACTCTCGTGTGTTATTCTAACTAATATTTATTTTTAGTACATTTCTATTTTATTTTTACTTTAATTACTTTCGATAGCAATTCTTCTCGGCAGTATTGGCCGATAAATTCACTATTTGAAAGTGTTAGAAATTGGATTTTTATTGCTTATTTGAGTATCAAATTCAGCTAGCAAATTTTTCTTCTTAAGTGCTAATTTTTGACAACTAACTTTGTAAACTATAAATTTGTAAATAAAATTTCAACAATTGAAAAATATTTTGCAAAAAAAAAACAAGAAAAAAATTCCTATCAGCTCACTGAGAAGATAATTTTAATCCTTTTCTCTAATTGCAGTACATATTTGAAAAATCATGGAGGGAAGTGATTTCAGAAAAAAGTTTGCTAAATTAGGCTGGTTTTTTATTTTTAAAACAAAGTTCAAAAGAAAATCTAGCGGAGTTTACTGCTAAATATGGGTAAATATTAAATTTATTTTTCAAAAAATACAAAATATAACCAAAATAATGTTTACAATAGATAAAAAGACAAATTTAAAATTTTTTGCATCAAAAATTGCCAAAGAAAAAAGCATTTCCTTTGGTTATGATGTTATGAATATGCAAAAATTGGGATATTCATAGTAAACAATCAGGAAAAGTTATGACAAATTGAGGCGTTTATTGCTGAAAACACACCTTTTCATTACAAAATATAGCAGCAAATAAATTTACACGTCTTTTTCAAGCAAAAAAAAAACGAAATAGTTGTGCAGAAATCCATTTTAGTATTTTAACGTTTTCAACGTGAACGAAAGCATTTCTCAGGCGTTAGTTGGTTAGTCAGTTAGTTGAATGATACTCTTCAGTGGTATTTGATGTGTGAATAGTTTTGAAATTAAAAAGTTTTGATGAATATTCAAAAACAGCTAAATAGATAATCACTACTTGCACACACATTACATAAACACACAAGATCATACACACAAAAAGGTTGTGATATTAAATTTTGTTACTTTGCTGGTCTTCAGAGTTGTGATAGTTAAGCACTAAATTTAAAATTTTTCTGCTGAGAATAGAAATTTTTTGAAAAATGTAAATGATAACTGATAAATGATAGAAATTAAAAATATTACAATGAATTTCTTTTTTCAAGAAAAAAATGAAATGACATTCTCTTCAATGATTTTGAAAAAATTCAGATTATTTGCATGAATTTTTTGGCTGAATTTAGAAAATTTGCCATGCTGTGTTTTGTTTTTAATATTTTTTAAAGCAAACTAAAATCAGTGATGTGCACAAATTGACAAAAGTGCTGAAAGTTTTTTTGTTAATCTTAAAAACTTTTCAAGATTGACAATGAATTGACGAAGTGCTGAAAGCACTGCTTAATTATAGAATTTTTAAGAGCGAATCAGAAGTGAAATTATGATAATTTTTATTTCAAACTTTAATTTTGACAAAAAGTTTTTGGAATATGTGAAAAAAAAAAAAGTTTTTAAATTCAGTTTGAATTCTTT